GACCAAGATTTCATTCAATTAAACCACAACTAATGCACACACAAATATCTAGAGATGTACACTCTTTGCATTCAAACACTAGTAATTGTATATTAATGGGGAAATTTAAATTGTGTAATACCCTAATTTTAAAAGGATAGTCTTGGCATTTTAATTATTGTTTTATTGCATTTTTGTGTGATTATTTGCTTAATTATTTAATTATTTATTTGATTTAATTGTTTAATTATGTATTTAAATTGCATTATTTGATTAATTGTTTTATTTAATTGAATTAGTTGCTTAATTGTTTATTTAATGGTATTTTTATTTTATTTAATTGGAATAATTTAGTATTATTAATTTTAATGGGAAAGTAGGGTTTCATTCTTTTAGGAATCACGTTTTGGCCGACTAGGGTTTGGTTAGGGTTTCTGTCTCTAATTATAATTGGACCTAGGTTTTAGTATTGCCTATAAATATACTATTATATGTCTGCAAACGGGTTAGAAAATCCCTATGCATGTACCAGTGATATAGAGAGAAATAGAGAGGGAATTGTAAGAAAAACAAAGAGATTAAGGCTGGGGTTTCGGCTGTGGATTAAAGGATGGACCTACGAGGAGGGAAGGTTGAGAAGTAGGAGGTTGACAGTGAGCGAACGTCGTCGGAAAACTTAGGAAGAATGCGACGAGGTTTTTATTCAAAAATCTCACAGGCAAGTTCTATTCTGTCTCTCTCCCCTTGACCTGTGTTCTGTGCATACCTAGATGATCTCTAGGATTTTAATCAGATATTAACTGAATTTTACATGCTTAGTATATGTTAAATTGCTCGTCTATATATGTTTACTTTACTCTGGAATTGTTCTTGCAATGGGATTTCAGTGTTTGATCTTTGAGCATGTTAAATCGGTAATTATTTTTATGGTTGTTTTTAATGCAAACTGATTTAAATAAATGACTGGGATGATACTGGATATAAATTGGACTATTAAGATCAATATTTATAAAGAACAGAAGGGTTGGAAATGGCCAGAGATGAAGCAGATGAAGGGAAGAAGTTTAGAGCTCTTAAAGAGGGAGAGAGCCGGCTCCATGGAAGTGGGAGCGACTCCCTCTTGTGCAGAACCGACTCCCTCTTGTGCAAAGCCGGCTCTAGGTGATGGGGAGTCGGCTCCCTTCTTCATAGAGCCGGCTCCAAGGTCTAAGGAGCCGGCTCCATGTGTAATTGAGCCTGCTCTCAAGTTTTGAGAGTAGGCTCTTTTGTTTGATGCATTCTGGAGGTGTTTTGGGCACTGTTTGGATGAGTTTGGGCTTCCGAATTGTTGTGGGATTTTAAATGAGGGTTATAATAATTATTTCATGGTGTATTAAAACCCTAGGATGCATAATGTATATTTATACGTTAATAAAGTGAACGGTATGAAAGTTTAAATAATTGTGCATACCGTTAACGGATATAAGGGATTTAATTGCTTAACTTTATTTTAGCAATTTAACAGATTATAGCATGATTATAAACCTTGTTTTGGATGCATAATATGGTCATTTACTTATCAGACTTGATCTATGCTTATTTAGGATTCTAATTGCTGAAATAATAAACGTTATTCTGCAATTCCATGGATTATTGTTTTGGTTATTAATTACTGAACTATTAAACTATGTTCTGTCAATTATGTGGATTATTGTTGGATTTGAATTACTGAATTATTATATTAAATTCTGTCAATTATATGGATGTTATGGATTGTATGCACCAGTATGGGACGGTGGCATACTAGGGATGGTTTAGCTCAAAACGCTAAAACCTAATTTATTGGAATAAGGGAATGGATTGTAAAATATTGAATCCTACTTATATTTAAGTCAGATCAATTGAATAAAGTTGAGTGACTACTTGGATTAGTCGTTATTTGTGGTTAAGTCAGATCAACTGAATAAGTTGAGTGGTTAACCGGATTATAAATCTTATGTCAGATCAACAAATAATTGAATGACATACTCTAGTTTTGGATGGACTTTAAATATATGATTATGGTACCACGATATGAGCTTGAGTCTCAGAGTCGATGGTTAGGGCGCGTATATGCAATGGATGCATAGGTGGCTATGATAGGTTGAGGTGTACCCTGTTAGGCTTAGGTATTCATGCCCACTCAAGTGCGTTTTGCATGTTGCCTTCTATTCAGGTTGAGACCCCCTTTGTAGTTCAGTGAATGTCCCTTAGAGTGGATATATATATGTATGGACTAGATAGATATTGTTGAGATATCTAGGGTGTATTTGCGTATCGGGTCACTGTATGGATTGCAGTTAGAATAGAACTTCTCCGTGGGCCTGACCTACTCTAATATTTTTTCAGGTATCGGACGGTTCCAGTCTCAGGGCTTGTTCGGCTAAGCAGAGACGGTCATTCATTCTACCAACGACGTAGGATTTCATTCCATGTTTTAGATTTGGATTTTATCTTCAATTGATTACTTTTCAGTTGCGATTTTGTTGAGGGGTCCACTAGATGGATTCCCAAGTTGTACTCTTGGAGGTTTTGGAGAGTTAGATTATTTTAATCTTTAAGGTTTGAGGATTTTATATTAATTAATTCTTTCAGCTTTATTCTATTTCTTAAAGTCTTTTTGTATTCTGTGTTTGTTTATATATTAATTGTTTGATATTCCCTCGGGTTTGGGCTTGGGCCTGATCAACCCATGTCTCAGAGTCGATGGGTATCACAAATTGTAACTTTGTGTGTGTGTGTGACATCAATTGAAACTAAGCATGAATGGCAAATAAGTATAGAGTGTCTAACTAATTTTAATGAATAACACAACCTATCAAATAAGACCAAGATTTCATTCAATTAAACCACAATTAATGCACACACAAATATCTAGAGATATACACTCTTTGCATTCAAAAGTATGGAATGTCAAGAAACAAGAATGGATTGTTCACCTACCTAAGAAATTAAAGCATCTACACTACAACTAGGCTAGAGACATGAAATTAAACTAATTAAACTAGAGATGTGATACAGTCCATCAAGAAACAAGTGTGAACCATCAAATAAATCACAAAAGTGTTCCATTAAGCACCATGCCTTAACCATCACTAGATTAACATCATCAATACACATAGACATGTATCAAATTTATTAAATCTAGAGATCAAAATAAGAACATCAATTCTATCTTACATAGACATATGAGTAGAGCTAAATGATCAATTGAAAGCATTAATCCATACAAATCAAGTAGAAATCACAAGATCTATATTTATCCATGGTCAAAACATCTATTACAACTAAAATCCCCAAAAATACACAAAAGCTAGGTTGGAGAAGCAAGCCTAGAGGCTATCTCTAGCCCCAAGAGAAGGATTTAGCCACTCATTGTAGTGGTCATGGAACCCTCAAAGGCTAGCTTGAAGGTTGGCATCATCATCTTCATCCTTGCTATCTTCTTTAAAACCCTAATTCTAGAGAGAGAAACTATCTGTTTTATATTTGGTAATTATAATAATAATATCTACTACAATGATGTTTAATAAATCAATTGCACACTCCTTTGAGTAAGGACCAAGTCAGAATAATAGTCTCTGATTGGAGGAAATTCGCAGCTATGCATGGTAGGTAGAAATCGGCGCACTCGGGAATTAGACAGCTTACTGCCAGCAGGCATTTCGATCGATCGAATATTTTCGATCAATCAAACATTTAGCTTCGATCGATCGAAGCTGACGTGGCATCAAAAATATCTTCGGGCCTTATCCACTTTGCTGAGCTGGCACTGCCATCATTTCGATCAATTGAAGATCATTTCAATCAATCGGGACTTCCCTTCGATCGATCAAAGTTCCCCTGATGCAATTTTCTTGGCTTCTTTCCAACTTTGCTCATTAGCTCCAAAAATGGTCTAAATGGCTTTTGTTAGCCCGTTTGAACATTATTCACCTGAAATAGGCAATAACACAAATAAGTATCTAAGATATGAAAGTAAGATAGATGAATGGACTAAAATACCCTAGCTTAGGAGCTAAAATACATCACATTTGAGCATTCATCAACCATTGTCTCTCATCACCAGCACCAAAGGAGCATCCACGCGCCACCCTTGGAGGTAGGGAATGCAACAGGTCTTCAGTCAAACTATGTGTCTGACACTTCTGTCCAAGCTATTCCAACACACAAAGACTTTCTTTTATTACACCAAAATGGAAATACTTGGCTTCTACAAGGTCTGGACAATGCTCAACAACCCTTTCTTGGCTCTGATGGTCCTCGAGACACACATACCAGCTAGTCAAAAGTTGCTGCCACTGGTCATGACACAAGTACTGACAGGTACAAGATGAACCTTGAATTTTTCCCTCCTAATGCAAGGTCTAGGTCCTCCACTGTGGTTGATCTTCCTACAAATCTCGCTGAGGAAGGGGAGCAAGAATGGAAGGCCAGTATTGTAGGTTATTTTCTACAGAAGAAACTTCCACACACTCTTGTTAAAAAATAAGCTCAAAAACTATGGGGTTCAATAGGTTTTGAGGAATTAATTGGGAATGATAATGGCTTCTTCATTTTCAAGTTTTTCAATGAGGATAATTGCAACAATGTCCTTGTGAATGGGACATGGATGATGATGGAAAGACCAATTATTCTCAAAAAATGGGAAAAATGTATGGAATTTAAGAATAAGGCATGTAGTATCATACCTTTATGGGTAAAATTTTTTAATATCCCTTATGAGCATTAAACTACAAGGGGCTTAAGTCGTATCACTAGTGCAGTGGGGAAACCATAATTTGCAGATAAACAAACTGAAGCTTTAACTAGAATAAGTTATGCAAGGGTATGTATTAAAGTGGATGCTACTAAACCTCTTGTGGATAACTTTGAAATTAGGTTGGAAAGTGGTAAACTCATCACCATTGATGCAGAATACTAATGGATGCCTCAAGCTTGTGAGGTATGTAAGTGTTTTAGACACACAAATTCTAAGTGTAAACCACTTATTGGCACCACAGGTCCTAACCCTTTTGAGGGCACCACTGTTACTTCTAACTTTGAATGGAGGATTGTCCAGAAGAACAACAAGGTGGTTCCAACCACGTTTATTGAACACTATGCTCCTAATACTAGCATTGAAACTTGCTCAGAGCAGACACTTCCCCTTCATAATAATGTTAGGCCTGAACCCCCTTTGTTAACAAATAACCAATTTGCCACATTATATTCTGAAGTTGAACCTTCCACAACAGGTTGCTCTACTCCCATTGACACTGAAAATGATCCTGATAGCCACAACCATGATCAACACTCTGAAATTGAGCCTTCCACAATAGGCTGCCTTATTCCTATTGTCTATACAATTGCTACAGGTAGCCACAACCAAGATCAAGTGGGTTATATGCAGGATGATGATGTTAATTCTAGCACTAGAAAAGCTAAAGCTTCACATACTTCCTCTGACACTACCATGTCCTCTTCAAGTCATGGTAGTAAAATAGGTAATAGTGATAAAAAATGTATAAAGGATGATACAGGGAAGAAGAAGAAGAAGGGTGACATTACCCAAGAGATGCCTATTCTGGGCTTTCCAGGTCTTGTGGTCCAATCCACTCAATGATCAATACAGCAGTTTGGAATATCAGGGGTCTTAATTACCCTGAAAAACAAAGAGAAATAAGGAAGCTTATTTATGAATATAAGCTCCAGTTAGTGGCCATTGTGGAGAACAAAGTTTAAAAAGTCAATGTCAAATCAGTGCTGAGGAACATTGCCCCTTCATGGCAATTATTGCATAACTACAACCATTCCACTCTTGGGAGGATATGGATTCTTTTTTTACCAGAGGTTCATTAAAGTCCAGAAGCTTAGTGATAGTGCCTAAGCTATCCACTATTCTTGTGACGGCCCAAGTTTTTCAACTCGGTGCGTCTGTGATGAACCGAAAGTTAATCCGATGACGAATCCGAAATGCGGAAGCAAATGATAAACCAAGGTCTTAAGAGATAGGAATCACTCCTAAGACACAAATGTGACCTTTCATGAGATTACGGGACCTAAAGAGAGCAAAAGCGGAAACAAAGGTCAAAATGGACAAAATTCGTTATTTGAGGGGCAAAATGGTCAATTCACAACTAAAGAGAGAACCTTGACTCTAAATAAGTCAAACAAGGTGAAAAAAACCTAGTCTAATCATTTTAAGACATTCCAAGAGGTATTAAGAACATTGGCTAAGAATCCCACAAATTGCTCTTTCCCGGTTGAAGTGAAAACTGACACTACTTCACTAAAACATGAATCTCTCTTACTGTGTTTAGAATATGAGAATGGCATAGGTACCATTGGAATTATGACTCAAAATCCTTAAGTTTAGGCTCAAGAATCACCCCATTGGATAAGGAACGAAGAAGTTATGGCCTTCCGGAGTTGGACCATCAGTGCTGAATTGAAATCTGGAAGTGCTGGTGCATAGGGGTTATTTCGGTCGACCGACTTATAGTTTCGGTCAACCGAAACTGGTCACAAAAGGGATCGGTCAACCAACTTATAGTTTCGGTCGACTGGAACTCACAGAATGTTTTCTGAAGGCTGATTTTTACTGTTCATTTGGTCTTAAAAAGGGATCGGTCGATCAACTTAGAGTTTCGATCGACCGAAAATCCTCGAAACGTTGTTGAAAGCTCCTCCAAACATGTGAAATTGTAATGGAACCTATGGGATTCATTTTAGCCACATGCATAGATCAAAAATTGATTCATTTTAAGGAAGATTGAACATATGAACATGTCAATTACAAGAGTTTCATGTGGCAAACCTCCAAGATGGTTAAAATAAATATTTGAAGAAAAGTTTGATACCAAAAGAGTATAAGTACAAAAGTAATCATGCTTGGCCCTTGGCCTCCATACATACATGCTTATAATATCAAAAGTGAATACTTAAGTATCATTACATGTCAAGAAAGCTACATAAGCTTCTAAAGTACCATACACCCATGGTATACAAAATATGACATCAAAGTTAAGCATGTTAAACACTTGCATGTCAATATACAAAAATGCTTCAAATGACTCATAAGCCTCTAAGGATGATGAGCATCCAAGAACATAGTCTCTTTACCTAAAAAACAACCCAAACCACTAAGGTGAGTAATCAAGTTACTCGTAGGAAAAAGCATATGCGTATATCCTAAAGTTTCAATATCATTGCAAGATCAATATAGACGAATACAAGGGATCATTCCACTTAACGTCTATATTCAAGGTGTTTTAAGGGATCATCTTAAGCTAACTTAAATGAATCTAGCAACACAATATCAAAATGAATATACTTCACAACATCAAATCGCATGAAACTAAAATTACAAGTTACAACTTAAACATTGATTGTCAACTTGGAATTGAATGCGAAATCAAAAAGTGGAATCGTTGGACACCTAAGCTCGGAATTCTGCCGAGACCTCAACGGTTATTCTAGGCATTAACCCGCAGGGAAGACCACATTAAGTGCGCACTATCTCAATTGGGGTGAACTCATACTTCCCGCACTAGAGCCAAACTCTAGCTATGTCACTTGTAACCATGTCCCAAGAGAATCCAAAATACATCAAGTTCAAAACTTATACATAATATTAAGGCATATATACCACCTTCCATGCACAAGCATTTTGAAACCACACAAACCATGTCTTAGGGTTCCAAGTCTAGAATGACATGCTAAATGACAAGTCATCATCATGATATTATGTACAATACAATACCACCAACTTATCAATTTCAATCATGCCTCAACAATGAACTTTATACACTAAATATCAACATTTAAAGCAATAAGCTTTTATGATAATTACTATTTGTAATCCACAAGAATATAGAATTATTATCTCAACAAATATAGCAATTCAAGTCAATGGAAATTGCATAAAACATTAATAATTCCACAAGAATTCTATATCATCACTACATGTGAAAATACAAGAATTTAGTATATTACTAAATTATATAATCCTTCTACACATGGTTTATACATATCATACATGCTTAAATCAATAAATCCTAAGTCAAGATGTGAGCGTTTCCTATAATATGCAAGACTATCATATTAAAAGCATGTATACAATATATATTAAATCCTAAGGATTATAAAACACTTAAAATATAAACATACTACCACCCCTACCTCAATAGAGAATTGAATCTCTGTAATCCAAGCAACCAAGCTCAAAATGAAAAACAAGTTTAGGGTTATTGAAGAGTAGAGTGAGGGGAAGCTTTTGTGTTCCAAGGTTTTTGGTCTAAGGTGAGTGGAAGGAAGCCAAAAATGAAGTCAAAGCTATGAACCAAGCTTTTCTCCAATGGTGGCTAGGTTAGGGTTCTTGAAGAACATGTGAAATGAAAAAGATAAAGTGTGAAATGGTGAGTGGAAAGGCTAGAAATCCTCCACTCACTATGTGTTCTTACACTACCTCTCACACACACACAATGCAAGACTAAACCATGATCTTACACTTGTCACAAATCAATGACTTCTTCCTAGGCTTAATCCTAAGCCTACACTTGTCAACAATCAAAGCCAACATGTGTACCAATCCTAGGCTAACATGTGGGTGAACCTCCACCCTCCAAATGTCAAAAGATTACACATCAAAATCACTCGACCCCATTGCCAACAAGTGGCACCATGAGAATGTGGCACTTGTCACATTTTTCAAAAATTGTAAAAGGGTCCTTTTTCAAAATATCTTACAAATTAAATTGCAAAAAGGTCCCTAAGATGAAAATAATTACTTTATGTAATTACACAAAAATCCCAAAAATAATGAATAATTACACTAAAGTATACATCCACGCCCTTTATAAAAAAAGTAAGCAATTAACATGCTTTTCTGCAAAAGTAAAAATACAAATATCATGGAAATCAAATATCATAAATGCATGCAAAACCGAAATCAAATCCGAGCACAACAAGTGAGGTTATGCAAGGAAAAATGAAAAACGGAAAAAAGACGAAATAGGAAAAAAACAAAAAAAGAAAAAGACGAAAAAAGAAAATCGTCGAAAAGAAAAAGGAGGACAAAGACCGGGTCATTACAATTCTATCACCATAGATAGTGACCATACTAACTTTAATCTCTCTGTCATTTATGCCTTTAATAATGCAGATTACAGAAGAAGTTTGTGGAATGACATCTGTCAATTTGCTGCAGCTACTTCACAGACCCCATGGATTCATTTAGGTGACTTTAATGTCATTAGGCACCCTGCAGTGTGTTTTGGTGGTTCTCAAAGATGGACTCCTGCTATTAATGAGTTTAACACTTGCATTCACACCTTTGAGCTTAGTTATCTGAGGTATTGTGGAATACTCTTTACATGGACAAACAAAAGCCTAGGAATTGCCAATATCTCAGAAAAGCTTGATAAAGTCCAATCAAATGATAAATGGCTTACAACCTTTCCCCTTTCTGAATGTGAGTTCTTACCCCAAAGGATTTCTAATCACTCCCCAATGGTGGTTAAGTTTGGTAACCCTAATCCTAGAAGAAATATCCCTTTCAAATTCTTTAATTTCCTTGGTGATCACAGGGACTTCCTAACCACTACTAGTGTTATGTGGGGAGCTAATGTGAATGATCACACTATGTTCCAAGTGACTAGAAAACTCAAGCTTTTAAAACAACATCTCAAACTCTTAAACACTAAAGAGTTTAGTGAGATCTCTTCTAGAGTTATTGAAGTTAAGGAGGCCCTTCACCATTGTGAAATGACTCTTGACTCTTACCCCTCTGATGAACATCTAAGAACTAGAGAAAATGAGCTTCTTCAAGCTTATAATGATGCAACAGTTGCGGAGGAATCATTCTTTAGACAAAAATCCAGAATTAATTGGTTAAAGGAAGGGGATGGGAACACTACTTTGTTCATGAAAGCCTTCAACAACAGATGCAACAAGAAAAAGATTCTTAGCCTCCATTTAAATGATGGAACCACCACTAATGAACCTCAAGTGATCAAGGAGGAAGCCCTCAACTATTTTAACTCTATTTTTGGTGGAGAAACTAGCAATTATTTAGGTATGGATGCTCTAAAATCTGTGTACCACAAGACTATTCCTGATACTTTCATTGCTCAGCTTAGTGTCATTCCTTCTAATAAAGAGATCATGAAGTGTTTTTTCACCCTCAAAAACAATAAGTCTTCAGATCTGATGGGTATAATGCTTATTTTTATAAGAAGGCTTGGTCTGTTATTGGAGATGACACCACTAAGATTATGAAGGAAATCTTCTCAACTGGCCTTTCACTCAAGGAGATAAATGCTACTTATCATGCTCTCATTCCTAAAGTGCAAAATCCTAATTGCATGAGGGATTTTAAACCCATTGCCTGCTGCAATACCATTTACAAAGTCATCTCTAAGCTTTTGGCAAACAAACTCAAACTAGTCCTTCCTTGTTTTGTGGAGAAGTGCCAAACTACTTTCATTAAGGATAGAAGACTTGGGGACAGTGTTCTATTGAAAGGGTATCATTCTAGTTCCAACAATCCTAGATGTACTCTGAAACTTGATTTACAAAAGGCTTATGACATTGTGAATTGGTCTAGTCTGTTGGATACACTCCATATCCTCAACTTTCCACCAAATTTTGTTAATTGGGTTAAGGCTTGTATTACCTCTCCTGGGTTTTCAGTTTCTATTAATGGTGAGCTTCATGGATTCTTCAAGGGTACTAGAGGTTTGAGGCAAGGTGACCCTCTGTCCCCCTTCCTCTTTGTTATAGTTATAGATGTCCTCTCCTCTATTATACATCAAACTATTTACAATAATCCCCACTTCATTTACCACTGGAAATGCAAGAAAACCAAACTTTCTCATCTTATGTTTGCTGATGATCTCATGTTTTACTATCATGGTGATATTCAGTCCCTCTCTATCATAACTAAGTCAATTACTACCTTTTCAGAGTTGTCTAGACTTTTCCCTAACATATCAAAGAGCCTTTTATTTACTGCTAATGTACCTAAGAACACCCAACAACTCATGATTAATTTGTGTGATTTTGAGTTGGGAAACCTTCCTATTAAGTATCTTGGTATGCCTTTAAGTTCAAAAAGGCTCAATGTTAATGATTGCAGGATTCTAGTTGAAAGGGTTACAACTAGAATTATGATAAGTGCTTAAATGTTGCACATTTCAGCACCTAAGCTAGGGTATTTCAGTCTTTACATCTATCTTAATTTCATGTTTTAGTCCTAATTTATGTTTTTGTGTATTTCAGGGCAATAAAGTTAAAATGAGCTAAGAACGGTCCATTAAAGCCTTTTTGGAGTCAAGCAAAGATATTCAGAAAAAGTTCAGAAAATGACAAAAAGAGGTCGTAGCCCATTGCTCATATAGTGTGTTTATTCTTCGAAAGCGGTCAATCTCGAGCCTTTGATGATGTTCCCAAAGATGAAGAAGCAAACCAATTAGCCCGGAGCCAAAATGGAGCTAAATAAGGCTTAAAGAAAATTTCCAACTCTGGGGGGATCGATCCCCCAGAGTAGGGGATTGATCCCCCAGGACTTGGCAACATTACAGATTTTTTTTTTATTGTTTGGGCTTATTCTGTGAACTATTGGGATTTAATAAGGTTGTTACTTAAGGCCTAGTGAGCCATTATTAGGGTTAGTATTTATTTTATTTAGGTGAATATTGTTATTATTATGAAGTGATATATTCTGTATCGTATATTTTTTTTCTCTGGAAAAACACGGGAAAGAGGAGAAAAAGCAAGAACAGGCTAGGGTTTTAAGAAGAAGCTCAGAGATGATGAATCCAAGGATGGAGATTGTTCTGTCTTCAACTCCATCAACCATGAGTGGCTAATTCTCCTACTTATGGTTGGATAAACCCTAAGCATGTCACCTATTCTCTCTCTCTTTTCATACTTTTTGGGGATTTATTTATGTAATTGATGTATAGGCTTGAATAACATAATTTAATTCTTTCAATTGTTTATTCGTATTAATCTCATGTTGTCTTATGTGTTATTGATGAATAAACAAGCTATACACTTGAATTCCTTGTAAATTGATTCTTCTGATGTCTATACATGTGGTTAATTAGTTGTAATCGTGTTCAAATTGATGAAAAATTACTTCTATTTGATGGATGGCACTACATGTTTAGGTTAATTTATTGTCTAATTAGTTTTAAATTCATGTTTATTTAGTTTAATTTAAGATTAATTAATTTAATTGCAATTCAATTATTAGATAAGTAGACCATCCATACTTATGTTTGAATTCTATACTTTTTGTCACAATTGCATTATCTTCTAGATTAATGTAAGCTAGAATTGTAGGTGCATTGATAAGTAGACCATCCATACGTGTGGAGGCATTTATTTGTTTTAAGTGCATTGATATTATTGAGGAGTTTGGGAACATCGTATGTGGAGGTTGAAATTTTGAAATGTTGGTATGTTGACTTGTTCTAGTGCATGCATGGTCGTAGATCACTTAATCGTCCTCTTGCTCCTGTAAATCAAAATCTCGAAGTTTTTCTTCGGCATTTAAGAAGTAGTACTAGAGATAGTCATCTTAATCTTTCAAATTTTGATCTTCCATCACCTTTAATGGAAGACCCAATAGATCCAATTGAAGATCCTATTGTAGATCTTGGTCATGTGGATCATAATGGTGTGCACCACCTACCACAAGTTCATATTGTGGATCCTCAAGGTGTGCATCCACCCTTAGGAGTGCCACGACCAATCAATCCAGCGGTGCAACAACCTAATCTAGGGATGCCAAGGCCAAATGTTGTTCCCCCAATTGGTGAGCAACAACAACAATATGTTCAAATGGCATACCCTCAACAAGGTCAAATGGCATACAATCAGCAAGGTCAAATGCCATATCCTCCTCTCAATCCTCTCAATCCTCCAATGGTCCTTAGGGATCATTACACTCTAAATCAATATAATACACCCACTTGCATTCAATTGCCAAATTTCCGTGCTCATCATTATGAGATTAAGGCTTCCACCATTAACATGTGCCCCCTTTTCTATAGGTTGAGCAATGAAGAGCCTTATAAACATTTAGATGAGTTCTTGGAAGTTTGTTCTACCGTGAAAATCACGGATGTTCCAGAAGAAGTCCTTAAAATGAAGCTTTTCCCTTTCACCCTTCGGGAAAAAGCTAAATATTGGTTTAACAACTTACGGCAAAATACAATCACCTCTTGGGCACAATTGCAACAAGAGTTCCTAAAGAAGTATTACCCCGCAAGTCGAACCGATGCCATGAGAACTTCCATTCGTGAATTTAAACAACAAAAAGGAGAACCCCTTTATGAAGCATGGGAACATTTGAATGACTTGCTACGGAAGTGCCCATATCATGACATTCCTAAGTGGCAATTAGTTCAATGTTTCTTTTCAAGTTTATCCGATGCCAATAAGGGCATTGTTGATGCTTCTTGTGGCGGAAGCGACATAGAAAGAAATGAAGATGAAATTTGGCTTCTTTTCGAAAAAATGAGTGAAAACTCAATGCATAGATCTTCATCTTCTAAGGGTGGTCACTTAGCAAATATGGGAGGCAAGAAAGCTCTAAATCAAATAGACTCTTCCTTGGAAATTGCGGCCGAGGTCAAAAATCTTACTCAAAGATTTGATAAATTCCTTTTGAATCAAGGTCTGGTAATTCAATCTTATTCTCATCCTTCCAATGCAATGTGCATGACTTGTTCTAGTTACACTCACCATACTTCAAATTGCCCTCTTGGACAAGTCATACCAAGTGAGTCTCAAGAACAAGCAAATGCAGCTTTCATTCATCAAGGGAACAACCCTTATTCCAATACTTACAATCCGGGGTGGAAAAATCATCCTAACTTTGCATGGAGAAATCACGGACACGGTGCAAACCCTCCTCAAAATCAAGGTTATCAAGCAAAGTATGTTCCGCCACATCTCCAAAATCAAAATCAGAATTCTCAAGGTTACCGTCCTTCATTCTATCCTTAGAATGTGAATCAATACTCTCAACCTCAAGCATCAAATTCTCAATCCTATTCTCAACCTCAAGCATCAAATTCTCAATTTTACTCTAATCCAAATCAAGCGCCTCCTAAAAGTTCCGCTTTTGAGGACAAGGTCTTGCAAGCCTTAGGTGATCTTCGAAAAGATAATTAATTGTTTCATTCTCACTCTCAATCAATTGCAAAGCTTGAAGCTCAAATCGGGCAATTAGCTAATTCTTTAAATGTGAGAGAGAAAGGTAAGTTGCCTAGTCAAACTGAGACCAATCCTAAGGGGCAATTTATGGCACAAGCAAGTCCTTCATCGGAATTTTCTAGAAATGAGCAAGTTCAAGCTATTACTACCTTGAGGAGTGGTAGGAAAGTGGATAATAAGGTAGAGGTACCCAAAGAGGATAGTGAACTGAAGCAACCAAGTGGTAGCATCAGTCCCATTCCAAATCCTATTCCTATTTCCTTAGATGCTAGTGGTTCTTCATTATCATCTCCCCAATTAGAGAAGCCTTATGAGCCAAAAGCTCAATTTCCTCAAGCTTTGAGAGAGACTTCATCATTTGGGAGACAAGAAGGGAAAATTCATGATATGATGGAAGTGTTTAAACAAGTAAAAATCAATCTTCCTCTTTTAGATGCAATTAGGCAAATTCCACCATATGTGAAGTTCTTGAAGGACTTGTGCACACAAAAGAGGAAGAGTAAGGGAAGGGACCTTAAGAAAGTGTTTTTAACGGAACAAGTGAGTTCCATCATTCTGTCTAACACTCCTCTTAAGTTCAAGGATCCGAGTGCTCCGACCATTTCTTGTGTTATTGGAAACCAAGAGGTTCGTAGAGCTCTCCTTGATTTAGGTACAAGTATCAATCTCATTCCATACTCTGTTTACTTGCAGTTAGGATTAGGGGACTTGAAGCCAACATTGGTAGTAATCTAACTAGCCGATAGATCAATTAAGAAACCATGGGGAATTGTTGAGGATATTCTAATTAAGGTTGATAAATTTTATTTCCCGGTTGATTTTGTGGTACTAGATACTGAGCCAGTCCCTAATCTCACCAATCACATTCCAGTCATCCTAGGAAGGCCATTCCTTGCCACTGCCAATGCCACCATTAATTATAGATCCAGCATTATAGACATCTCTTTTGGCAACATGATGGTTAAACTTAATGTTTTCAATGCAAGTCAACATCCCACAGATGAAGACGAGTGTTTCCTAGTAGATGTCTTGGATGAAACCATAGAGGA